CGGACTCCCTCATTTTGCTGCGGACTCCCTCTTTATGACATGTATGAGGGTAGGGAGTCCGTTGGACTCCTGTGTTCAAAAGTTAATTTCTACACTTGTTGCTCCATATACTACACTTTCATTTTTGTTTTTAAAATGTTCCAAACTGTCAGTCAGCTGATGAATATAGCACCTCTCTCTTCAATTCACTCAGTTACAATTAATTCTAAAACACAGAAAATTTACAAACATCTGTCAGTATTTATGGCCGAAATGAAAATATTACAAACTCATTAGCTAAGTAGATAAACGTACATACACATACACAAAAAACTAAACGCACTAAACCAAACGTGATTAGATTTCTAATAGGATGAGTCAATATCTCGTGGAAGTACTTACCTGGCTCCTGCATGATCGGAGACAGCTTGCTAAGTCTGAGCTTTCTGAACTCCATACAATCTTCATCCATATGACAACCACAGCTCTCATACACCTTCAGCTGGTGTTTAAAACCTGGGTTTGGACTATAATTAAAGAAACTAAATTCAACAGAAGGGCATAGTACTTCACAAGAATGTGAATGGTTTAGTGCTCTGTATCATGTCAGAAATATGCCCAAGAATAACCAGTTGCATTACTCCCTAATGAAGGGTGCCTCAAAGAATTCTAGTATTTAAAAGCAATAATATGGTTGTCTTTTAAGTATAGACACCTTGTGCCAATGAATTTAACCGCACCTCACAAATCGTATCTGTCTCACTTTTGCTAGCGCTTTCTCCATCGTGACAGCCTCCTTCTTCATTAAATGAGCAATGACTAGAGTTGCACTCCTTGACACGCCGACCAAACTGCAAACAATTAGAGAGAATGTCAATTATATTACAATGTTAAAGTACTCATGTTTAAAAGGATGATATTACTTACATTATGCACACTCACCAGTGAACAAGAATCCCACCAGATTCACATCCATCTTCGATAAAGTTGTGGCACTCATCAAAATAACTGAGCAAATCAGCATCGGCCATGTCCATTGATTTCACAAACTTGTAAGTAAAACCTTAAAAGAAAATAGCCACCTCAATAGAAAGTAACAGTTTAATGAATACAAACTTGGTTAATGATTATTTGCTACATATTAAGATCACAGAAACTTATCATTTAACCTACTATTGATTACATTATAATTATCACACTTAGTATGGCTGAAGGGGTCGTTGTCGTATCAGGTACTACATATATGTACCCGAGGTACATATATGTATACACAAAGTATACCAGACTTGTACTACAGAAGTACCCTAACCCTAGCCCTAAACATACCTCATATAATGAAAGTGTCAATGACACTAGCTCACCACAAAAAAGGACACAAATGAGTGAGTAAGAAGAAGTCGGTTTTAATTGAGCAACCGTCTACGTACATTATAGAAACGATTGCCATCTGTATATTGCAATAATAATTTATAAACCAAAATGAATCACAATTTGGGACCATTAGATGGCGCTATACCTGCTTTGTAGCGATGGCGTTTAAAATAAATAGGTTATGCTGCGTTCCGACATGTTTTGTAAATCTTTACTCTAATATAGACGTTTTATCGGCAGGGTGGAGAGGAAATACTAATTTTGCATTAAAGATATTGTCAATGAAATCTTGTAAAACGAACCAGACGAGTGTGACACCACACACTGTTTGTGTCTATATAATATGCTATATAATTGCCAAACCCTACTTAATTTGCATAATTTTTTTTTAAATATCAAAACTCCTAGCCCTTATTCATTGACATACCAAAAATGAGCAAAATCCGTTGAACCTGAACTGACTAATGGCAATTCCCATTTTTGCCAAAAAATTGCCGGGGCTCAAAAGTACGTCGACTGGCGTGCTGCAAAATAGGACGTTTAATATGGGAGCATAGCAGTAACAACTATAGCCAATTTCAAACATGTGGGCCAAACGGTTCCTGAGTTATCGTTGACCAAAGCGAAATGTTGACGGACGGACGGACGGACGGATGGACAGACGGACGACGACCCATGGCAATAGCTCAGCTTGACGATGTCAAGGTGAGCTAAAAATATAAACATAATACTAAACAACCTAAAACTACCTCGGGTACATATATGTAGTACCTGATACGAAAACGACCCTTCGTGCCTTAGTATGAGCATTCATTGTTTTTGTGACATACACAGGCTTGTGGAATAATAGTCAATCATATAGGCCTACCCTGTGTGTGTGTTCGGGGAAGGGGAACATCCATTACGGACAATATGTGTGTAATTCCATTCCTCTTCAATTCCATCCAATTCTTTGCTGCAATCAGGCTGCCCAGAAATAATTTTTCAGCAACTTCATGCATGTCCCCTTGCACTGACTGCAGCTGCAATTTAAATAGAGATCAATGTTGTCCAACAAACACAATTGTTGTAACAAAGATAAATGTTTCTGTCATATTACAACAAATGTTTGCTGTGTACTAAATGAAAAAATGAATAAAATACCACAACAAATTTCTACTCTGTTCAGCTTGTGCTTTCTAGCACTTGTGCTAACTATATTTTATTTAAGATTTATAATTCATGTATTTTATAATTCCACTGGAATCTACAATCCAGTTTATCAGGTAAATGAAATTGCAAATTGGTTATTACATTTACCTGCTTTTTGCAAGGAGGATTGTTACCAGGGTGCGAAATTAACCGTCTTTGTCTCGTAGTCATACAGACTGCCAACTTTTTGTACTCTGGTAGTCTGTGAAATTCTGGTAGTTCAGAATTTCACGCATTTTGGTATTCCACGAGTTTTGCCAAAAGGAGCTAGTGTTGTCCAGCTACGCCATACCATGAGCTGCAAACATGGCTGCATCCATGATATTTATCAATGTCCGTTATGACGAATACTAATTTGAAATACATTTGATAATTTACGGTTTAACTTTTTTTAAATAAACTTATAATCAATTGCAGGAAAGAGAAATAAATTAACACTATATTCGTCAGTGTTAGTCAAAAACTGACAGTAAGGTAGTCCACCATCGTAGTTGTTACTGCAAATTGCAATATACTCATCTGTGAGTAAATCTGATAGTTTCAGACTAACGGACTGCTGTTAATTTCAAACCCTGAATGTAACACTTTCTTTAATTGACTCACTTTTGAATATGGGTCTGTAAACTCAAATGTAGACTTGGCTTCAAAATCATTTCCTTTATTCCGTAATATTGCACTTCCAGAAAAAGTAGAGATATTTTGAGCCTGAACCAGTGATTGGGTATTCACTAAATGCTGTTCAGGCTTTTCTCTATCAGCATCACTTTGATGCTGAGCCCAGCCACCCTGTACACGAGCTCTCCTCCTTTTATCTATATTCATTATTTCGAATTTCTGTCTATATATGGGGGCAGTCTAAATCTGCAAGATTATAAACAAACAATGTAAAAATATAGTCGAATACATAAGAACTTCAGGTTCAAGACTACTTTTGGACTCCCAATATGTATAGCTGTAGTTGATATATGCTTAACGTCATTACACCTAAGGCCAAAACAACTATGGTTGTGCCATTAGAGCTCTGGCAATGCTGCCACAGGGCTACACGATTGTATACACCAGCAAAGAAGGGACCACAGCCTGAACTAGACAGACTGCACTCACGGAGTGCATCCCACCGCCGACGACATACGCCATAAGCCATACGACTCACGAACACACGAATAACCCACGATATACGTCAGTGTACTGACATGTACACGCTCCCATGTAACATGTATGTGTTACGAGCTGGCTCGCTGGGCTCGCTGGCTTGCTGACTCGCTGGTTCGCTGGGTGATATTGATCGACCGCCGCGCTAATATCGATTGCGCAAACACACGAGAGCGAACACATAACCTCCTCCAACTCCGTTGGGCGGAGGTAATGATGTAGGATTCTCATAATAATACATGACTGAATATCATTCGACTTATCACATTATGATAATGAATTTGAGTGTTATCATAATAAGACAGGCATACTTTCCTAAATATCCTTGTTTTTTCTATCATCTACTTCACATATATCACTTCACTTTGTCAACTTAATACAACAATTTGTTTTAACAACTTCAACATTTTAAATGTTAGATCACTCTAGAAACTTGCACTCTAGGGATGAACTGTATTCATAATGTAATTCAATAGGGATTTCATAAGGTTTCAACTGTTTCCTCTGCAATAGCAAATGGCTAGTTCTAGGCAAGGGCTAACTTTACCAGTGTAGCCCTTCACTCATCTTACAGAGTTAACACAGTGCTAAGAAACAGCAATGAATCTTTACAGCATGACACCCTAAGCTAGCAGCATGGAAATACACAGAAGCAGTCAGGGTGGTGGGAGCCTCCGTGGCCCAGTGGTAGGTGTCATGCACTGTCCACTGAATGCTGCGAGTTCAAACCCCGGCAGGGGCAGTGAATTTTCTCAAGGTGTAAAAACCTGGCTCTCAACATTGGAGACTGTGAATCTCCCGTGACTCGGATGACCACGTAAAATGGCGGTCTCCAGAAATCCTAGCCAATAGGGACGTAAAAGAACCACTGAGGGCGCAAAAGAACTCTGGCTGTGACCACCCTCAGTGCCATTCGACTAAAGGCTAACTACCTGTCTTTCCACCAAGCTAGGTCACACCTCATGGCTAGCTATAGCCCTGGAAGTTAATTCCTTACGAAATGTCCCTGCGTTATTATCCACGTAACCGTGGGCTACGCAGTAAACTATCCAGATCCAGTCAGAGCTCTCATACGTTAGATATTAGTACGTTTTGCTACAGCACTTTGTAAGCTACAAGGTTTGGCTAATTCCAACATTCGCTTGTGGCCTTCTCGCCTCGTAGTGAGAAATGAGAAGGTACCTTGAGACTATTTCCCATGTAGCTCTAGTATTATGGGCCCAATAGCCTATATGGGGACAACATCCTAGTTTAGGACCCCAGGTCTCATTTCCGCAAATGTGGGGATAGACTAGAGACATGAAAACCACTAAACTAGTGATGAAACTAGCTCGTGAAATGTTAAACTAGGATTAGGGATGTCAGTGTGATACAATGAAAACTTGTTCTCAAACTTACGACGTTATGTGGCCTAGGGAGCTCAATCCTAATTTGGGACCACAGTATAAAATTATAATATAGTTTGCACATGTGCTAGGCTGCTAGCCTAAAGTAATCCGGGGTAATAATCTAGGACGAAGTGGCTCGTGCTCCGGTACCCGGACCACGAGTCCGTGCTCCGGCAATCCCAGAATGCACTGCAAAGTCATGCAGAGCATTTCTCAGCGCAATAGAAAACGGCAGCACACGAACCTTGTATGTTTTTTGTTGGATGTTTTCCTCATATAAAAAAAAGAAAAGAGTACCGAAATGAGTGGAAAATTATAATGAAAATTTGAAGTATTACCACACTGTAAACTATAGCTTATGTTTTTGGAGGAAAACGGTTCATTGCAAGAGGCACAGGGAAGTCAAATTTAAATTGTGATTGAAAAAGCATGACTTGACATGACTTGATATTGAGCGAGACCATGACTTTGCAATGCATTCTGGGATTGCCGGAGCATGAGCCAGAAGAACTCCCGGTCCGGTTACCGGAGCACTAGCTCTAGAACTATAGTCCTTCGCTCTGCCATAGGCCTGTGGCAGAGCAAAGGGCGGTTCAAGGATAGAGATGATGTCCAGGACGATGATAGGATAGAATGATGTTTATTACTGGACTCTATCCTTAAGCCCGAAGGGCTATAGTATAGTTATAAAGCAGAGGTTCTTAGCCTGGGCTGTGCCTGTGGTCCGTGAACCAGGCACATGCAAAGTTTTGTGTTTATGTGCTATGCCTAATCTAATGTGCATTTTTCTGGCGAGGGACCGTAGCTTTCACCAGATTCTCAATTGGGCAGCATGCTGAGTGATGATGACCAGACTATGCATGTAGGAAGTCCTAAAGTAGACCTGACCTTGTAGGGTGACTAGACTACAAGTAGTAGTCTGCACCGTTTTACCGAACCTGTTTACGAATGGTTTCCATGACACGCGTCTCCTAAACTGGTTTATCTGTCGTCGAAAGTCTCCGTAAATTTACATTACTGCTTTGCGAATAATTTGTCATTACTTGCTACTACTAGTTTCACTCAATGTGGTATCTTTTATGCCTAGAATCGCTATGAGGCGTATTATTATAGCACGTTATTACAATATAATATATGATTAGTTGATTACAAGTTTGTAAACATTGACATTGTCCTCATAAGACATAAACACTAAAACACGTAAACATTACTCATCTCCGTACTCACTGCAGCGCCAACATGTGGCTCTACCTGGTGGGGTAATAACTGATATTCCCACAGATATATTACAAATACAATAACAGAAGTACGTTGTACATGTATATGATCATATATTTTTATTATAGATATTAGAGTGTATTATACTCATAGGGTATCTATGTTTTTTTTTCTGAAGACAGCACTAGTTTCGCATTATCAGTAAGTTGGCCTGTACTCGTCCGCATTTTCTCAACACCCATCATGTCAGCGTCTATTGGGTTTCTGTTTGTGCTTTTTGTTGCGAGAATACCGGCGCTAACACTTCAGGATATTGATGTAAGTCACTAAGTGTCATGTCACAATGAATATTTATTACCAAATCACTTCAAGATTAATATTTTTGTTCAAAATAACAAGCCTTACGTCAGTCCCCATACACTAGCCAGTCGGCCTGTAAAAGTACTGATATACTGATACTATTATTACTAGTGTCGTGATAGTGATAGTGATAGTGATACTGATGATAGTGATACTGATAGTTTTACTTTTACTATCCGACCAGGGTTGCCTAACCTGTATGATACAGGCGGTTCCGGTTCCGCTTCACTACACTAACCGCCTGTACGCGAGCTCAACCCTGGCGGTTCGCAAGCCTCGTTATATCGATCGACCGGTTGTTAACAGTTATGAACTTATGGCTTGAATAACTTGAGAAATGACGTCAGGCAAAAGCCTGCTCGCTGATTGGCTGATTGGCCCGTTACAGCTCTCTGATTGGGCGAATGGTTTCGTGGTTCACGAAGCGGGTTGAATAAGCAAGGGTTACAGGCGGTTAGTGTAGTGAAGCGGAACCGGAACCGCCTGTATCATACAGGTTAAGGGTTGCCAGATAGTCGACAGACTTCACAGCCAAACACACGCCATCCAGGCGCGTAGCCAGGATTTTATTTTGGGGGGGGCGGCAATGCATGAGCACGTGAAGTGTGCGAATCAGGGGCGTAAATCCGTACTACTATGGCTGTTGCTCCTGCAACGGTACCGTCGCTCGATATTTTTTTCTCTCTAAAGTCAGCGGTACCTGACGTACTGACGCCCGATTGGTTTGAGCCTTGTTTTTCTCGCCGATATACATAGCTGCACATCCAAAAATTGTAATTTCAATATGTCGCAGCAGTGTAATGGCGTTACGCACGCTGGCGCACAAGTAATGAATGGTCGCAGGATCGAATCCCATCCGTGTTTTTAATTACTTTTCCTGTTGTTCTGTATTTTCTATCTTTATTCTGATTTAGCATTTTTTTCAATTAACGCAAATAATTTACATTGATTGATTTTACAACAGTTTAATAACAACAATTTAATTTTTTACAATTATAAAATTAAAATTTTAATTAAATTTAATAGGGTTTAGCGTTAGGGTTAGGCGTTAGGGTTAGGGTTAGGGTTAGGGTTAGGGTTAGGGTTATCGGTATATATTCGCGTGATAAAAATCGTAGTATTTAATATCGTACCCAAAAGCAGCGCTAGTTTATTATTCGCCGATAGATGGCGCTGCAATCACCTACCGTGACTTTAAAGAGAAAAAAAAATCGGCGACCGGTACCGTTGGCAGGGATGGCAAACAGCCAATAACTACATAATAGGTATGCAGTGATATCAGTACTTTTACAGCGCCGTACTTGGCTACGTGTATGGCGGACTGATGTAAGGCTTGTATTTGAACAAAAAATATGTAATCTCTTGAAGTGATTTGGTAACTAAATATTCATTGTGACATGACACTTAGCTGACTTACACTCAAATATCCTTGAAGTGTTAGCGCCGGTATTACTCCGTCCAACAAATAACACAAACAGAAACCAATAGACGCGCTGACATGATGGGTGTTGAGACAAAATTGCGACGAGTACAGGCCAGAACTTTACTGATAATGCGAAACTAGTTGCTTGTCTTCAGAAAAAAAAACATAGATACCGATGAGTATAATACACTCTAATATCTATAATAAAAATATATGATCATCATACATGTACAACGTACTCTGCTTATTGTATTTGTAATATACTGTCAGCGGGAATATCAGTTTATTTACCCACCCAGGTAGAAGCCACAGTTTGGCGCCTGCAGTGAGCTACGGCAGAACGTGAGCTTAGGCCTAATGGTTGGACGTGTCCTTCGGTACTTTTAGTGTTTAATGTCTTATGAGGACAATTGTCAATGTTTTACAAACTCTGTAAATCCAACTTAATCATATATAATATATTGTAATAACGTGCCTATCAATAATACGCTCATATTCGATTCTAGGCATAAAAGCATACCACATTGAGATTGAAACTGTAGTAGCAAGTATGACAAAAATTATCGGCAAAGCCAGTAGATGTAAATTTACGGAGACTTTTCGACGACAGATAAACACCAGTTTAGGAGACGCGTGTCATGGAACCATTCGTAAACAGGTTCGGTAAAACGGTGCAGACTACGCTACTTGTAGGTCTTAGTCACCGCTACAAGGTCAGGGCTCTACCTTTCAGCGACTTCCTACATGCATAGTCTGGTCATCATCACTCAAGCATGCTGCCCAAATTGAGAATCCTGGTGAAAGCTACGGTCCCTCGCCAGAAAAATGCGACATTAGCATTATGGCATAGCACATAAAACACAAAACTTTGCCATGTGCCTGCTGCTTCACGCGACACAGGCACCAGCCAGGCTCTAAGAACCTCTGCCTCTATAACCTATACTATAGCCCTTCGGGCCTTTTATAGCGATAGAGTCCAGTAATAAACATTCATTCTATCTATCAATCGTCCTGACATTCATCTATCTATCCTTAAACCGCCCTTTAGCTCTTGCCCACAGCCTATGGCAGAGCCCGAAGGCACTATAGTTCGTAGAGCTTCGTGCTCCGGCTAAACCGCGACGGGCAGTTCTTCTGGCTCATGCTCCGCGCAATCCAGAATGCATTGCAAAGTTCATGGTCTCGCCTCACATATTCAAGTCATGTCAAGTCATGGCTTATTTTCAATCACAATTTAAACTTTGACTTCCCTGTGCCTCTTGCCAATGAAACCGTTTTCCCCTCCAAAAACATAAGCTATAGTTTACAGTGTTGCGTAATACTTCAAAATTTTCATTATAATTCTTCCACTCATTTCGCCGTACTCTTTCTTTTTTTATATGCCAGCGAAAACATCCAAACAAAAAACATTACAAGGTTCGTGTTGCTGCCGTTTTCATATTGCCGCTGAGAAATGCTCTGGCATGACTTTGCAGTTGCATTCTGGGATTTGCCGGAGCACGGACTCGTGGTCCGGCACGTACCGGAGCAAAAGATCCCCACTTCGCTCCTAGATTATATACCCCCGGATTACTTTTAGGGCTAGGCGGCCTAGCACATGTGCAAACTATATTATAAATTTTTATACTGTGCGTCCCAAATTAGGATTGAGCTCCCTAGGCCACATAACGTCGCTAAGTTTAGAGAACAAGTTTTTCATGTATCACACTGACATCCCTAACCCTAGTTTAACATTTTCACGCAGCTAGTTCATCACTAGTTAGTGGTTTTCAGGTCTTCTAGTCTATCCCACATTTGCGAAATGAGACCTTGGGGTCCTAAACTAGGATAGTGTGTCCCCATAATAGGCTATTGCGGCCCATAATACTAGCAGCTAATGCGGAAATAGCTCCTCAAGGTACCTCCTGCATTTCTCACTACGAGGCCGAAGAAGGCCACAAGCGAATGTTGGAATTAGCCCAAACCTTGCTAGCTTTACAAAGTCTGCTGTAGCCAAAACGTACTAATATCTGAACGCTATGAGAGCCTCTGACTGGATCTGGATAGTGTACTGCGTAGCCACGGTTATCACGTGGATTAATAACGCAGGGACATTCGTAAGGAATTAACTTTCCAGGCTATAGCTAGCCATGCAGGTGTGGACCAGCTTGGTGGAACAGACAGGTAGTTAGACCTTTAGCTCGAATGGCACTGTCCACTTGGAGGGTGGCTCACAGCCAGAGTTCTTTTGCGCCCTCAGTGGTTCTTTTAGCGTCCCTATTGGCTAGGATTTCTGCGGAGACCGCCATTTTACGCTGGCTCCATCCGAGCTCACGGGAGATTCACACGTCTCCCATGGTTGAGAGCCAGCGTTTTTTACACCTTTTCGAGAAAAATTCACTGCCCCTGCGGCGCGTTTGAACTCGCCAGCATTCAGTGGCACAAGTGCATTGAAAACCTACCACTGGGCCACGGAGGCTCCACCACCCTGACTGCTTCTGTGTATTTCATGCTGCCTAGCTTTGGGTGTCATGCTTGTAAACGATTCATGTTGCTGTATTCTCTAGCACTGCCTGTTAACTCTGCTAAGATTGAGTGAAGGGCTACACTGTAAACGTTTAGCCCATTGCCTTAGAACTAGCCATTTGCTATTGCGCAGACGCGAAAAACAGTTTAAACCTTATTTGAAATACCCTATTTATTTACAATTATGAATACAGTTCATCCTAGAGCTGCAAAGTTTCTAGAAGTGATGCTAACATTTAAAAATGTTGAAGTTGTTAAAACAAATTGTTGTAATTAAGTGGACAAAAGTTGAAGTGATATATGTGAAAATAGACGATAGAAAAAACAAGGATATTTAGGAAAGTATGCGCCTGTCCACCTTCATTGATTGATAACACTCAAATTCATTACTCATATGTGATAAGTCGAATGATATTCAGTCATGTATTATTATGCAGAATCCGTTACATCAATTACCTCCGGCCCAACGGAGGTTGGAGAGGTTATGTGTTCGCTCTCGTGTGTTTGCGCCAATCGATATTCTGAGCAGCGGCGGTTCGATCAATATCACCAGCGAACAGCGAGTCAGGCGCAAGCCAGCCGAGCCAA